GAGCGGGGAGGGACGGGGGGGGCTCCGAGCGCGTGGCAGCGGGAGAAGCCTGGGAGGGGAGGGAGAGGCGAGGAGCCGACGGTTCGGGAGGGGCGGAGTACCCGGAAAGGAGCGTGCCTCTGAGCATGTGAAGAGTGCCGCCTCTCGACCCTTCCCCACGCCTGCCCGCCCCGTTCTCCAAAGGAGAGCGTTCGGTTGTGTTCGTCTTTTGGTAGCTCTCGCCAAAAAAGGCGGAGAAGGGGAGAGAAAGATGATGATGGAAACAGTTGCGGTGTCAAAACTCGGCCAAAGACCGTGTTCACAAGTGACCCCGCAGGTTTTCTGAGCGCGGGGGCGGCCGCACGAAGGGGTGCCCAGCCTTGGGTCTCCCTCCTTTGATGCGGGATTAGAAAGAGGAAGGAAAGACGAGAGAGCGGGGGCGGGGAGATTGCGGGACTGCCCTGCAAAGAGTAGCGTGTCTCGAACTCAGAGCCTTTCTCGGGGGCGCGGGTTGTGTGTGCAGATCCCCCCCTTCCCAGAAGCACAGCGTAGCCTTTCCACTTGGGGGTACGAAAGGGATCCCTCATGAAAAAGAAGGCTGGGAAGAAGCGGTAGCTGTTAATTAGTGGACACATTAAGGCAATATTGAACATGCCTGGCGTTCCGGGCGGAGCGTCTGAATGCTCGGCGCAGGCAGAGACGCGTGTGCCGCTTTTCTCCTTTCGGTGTCTGATGAGGAAAGAACGCAGCAAGATAAATCCTATGGGAAAATTGTCCACAGCTTATTCATTCTGGAGCGTGAGGGTGAAAAAAAATGTTAAAATAACAATTAAAACTTGGCTGTTGCTACGTACAGTAGTTTGCTTTCTTGTTCAAATCATGGTGCTTCCAGACAGCAGGCTCTGGATGTGCAGCCTCACTTTATGAAACTTTCTGATTTTGTTTTTAATTGAGCTACAATCTTGTATAGATTAGCTGGAAAGGAATCACAGAGCTCAGAAATAAATGTTTGTTTGGTGATTTATTGTTTCAAAGGTTTTTTTTACTTTTTCCAATTAACTTGTTGATGTTATTATTAAAACAGTAATTTATGTGTTCTGGTTTATTTATGGATACGAATGCTTTATTGTTTTGTAGCTGATCAGGCTGTATTCAAGAGTATAGATTAAACCAATGGTAAAAACAGTATTTGGCATCTCATGTAACTACATTTGAACAAGCATAAAATAATGGTAAAAAATATAATAAGCATTCTCAGAAAATGAATCAAGATTTACTTGAAGGATTTGTGAAGCAGACAGTAAGTTCCATCTTTCCGTGGCTCATTTAAGAAATTTAGCAGTTCTATAGGATATACAGTAGTCTGTGCCAGCTAGCAGGAATAAGACTGTACATAAAGGGGGTATTTATATTTTTTAAAAATGACACTTATAAATATATAAATATTTTTAAAATTCTCTGCAGCATCTCCAAACCAAAAAAAAAAATTGGGGGAGTAATAAAGTTATTTTTCATTAAAAAGTAACAATGTTACTGGTTTAGAAGCAGTATCCATGTTAGATTGTGCTAACATGTCAGGCAAAGTCAACATGAAAATAAAAAATTGTGGCACCTTAAAGACTAACTGCTGCATATTTTAATGTGAGCTTTTGTGGACAAGCCCACTTTTTCAGACCACGTTGTTACGTTTCTTCATGTACCTCTTATATCTCTCCTGCTGGAGATTACAGCAACTCTGAGCAATTATGTTATGCTGCATCCAAGCCAATCTCCAAAATTTGAAAAGTCTCTGGCTCTCTCTCCCTCTCTCTCAAAAGGTACTATTATGCCCTCTTTTGCTCAAAGTGAGCTACAGTCTATAAGAGCTAAGTCTTTAAGAAGCCCCAAGATTCTGTTGTTCGTTTGCAAGAACTATTGCAGGTAATCTTCTGGAAATGTCGTTTCCTAATTTTTAAACCAGTCTGGACAATCCTTTAAGTAAAACAAGCAAAGAATGCTGGGAGTTGCAGTCCAAACAAACTTGGAAAGTGGGCATTTTGTAGCCCTCTTGAATGTTTCTCCTGGGAAGAGAAGGATGATGGGAGTTCTAGTCAAGAAAAGTTAGAAGGCCACCAGTTGTTCATTCCTGAAATGGAGGATGTGGATAGATAGATAGATGACTGTCTTCTTTAAAAAGCCATTCAAATAAGTGTTTGCCCTCTATAAATTAGGACATACGGCCAGCCCAGCAATAGGACCCTTATTTTAAAAGGGGTGCAGCCGTGCAACAGGAGGTGGCACATTCCCACCGTGCCATTCACAAGCTCAGATGGCTTTGCCTGCCTTTTGCATAACGCAGCCTAAGTGCTTTCCGATGGTCACCATGGCGATATACTATCTAAATACTAAACAGATAAGAATATACATGGCGGTGATCTGTCTCCATGACAACAGTTTGCATAATTTGGGACCAAGATTTTTTGTAAGGAAAATATAAAAAATGTATCCCCAACCACCCTGAAGAACCTTTTGAGCATGGTACTAAAAATAATATTTTCATTAAAAGAAAGCCTTATCAATCAAATTACAACATGCATTTCTATATTAGTATATGTGTTCTTCTTTGAAATAATAATAATGTGGCCTCAAGTCAATCGTGAATTATGGCAACCCTTTCCAGGGTTTTCTAGGTAGAGAGTACTCAGAAGTGATTTACCCTTCCCGTTTTCTGAGGGGTTTCCTGGGACTGTGCAGTTCACCCAAAGCCACATAGGCTGGATCTTCTCCCAGGAGGCACAATATGGAATTGAACTCCCAACCGCTGGCAGCCAGATATCAAACTCACTGAGCTATCCAGCCAGCCTCTTTGAATTAGGGGGTACAGTGGTACCTCACTTAACGAGTGCCTCGCTCAACGATGAATTCGCATAACCTTTGCTGGAAATTTTGCCACCTCACCTAATGATGTTTCCTATGGGGGATTTTCACATAACGATGTTTGGGACCTTGCTTCACTTAACAATGACAGTTTTAGGTCCCCTGTTTCGCTTAACGTTTTTTTTTACAGTCCTGTTTTCGCTATTTTAAAAATATTCTAAAATGTTTTAAAATGTTTAAAATGCTTGGAATTGTTAGTGCACCTAATAAAACCTTCATTAAAGTAATTTGGCTTCGTTTTGAGTCTTTTTGAATTTTTGGTGATTTTTTTTCACCATTGAAATGTATTGAATAGGCTCCTATTGGAACAGATTAACCGGTTTTCAATGCATTCCTATGGGAAATGGTGTTTCGCTTAACAATGTTTTCACATAACGATGTTTTTAATGGAACCAATTAACATCGTTATGCGAGGCACCACTGTATTTTTAAAAATTACAAATGCAGGCTTTCCTCCCTTCATTTTGTGGGACACCTTCCAAGGTGATATGATAAGCAACATTTCCCCTTCGTTCCATCACATAGAGGAGAAGCTTAGATTCTGCCACATACACAATACCCAGTACTGGTTGTATATTGGTTATAATAGCAGTATATTACATGCAGCCTCTGAAAAAACCATTAAAGAAATGGAGGCAGGGCCAGGTGCTTTGACTCATGTTAAAGCTAAATAGATAATGTTGTACAAGTATTGCCAAGGCAGGTTGAACTCACACACTATCAAGTGCTTGGGGATTACTGAGGAATCTTAAAGTGATCTGGTTCATGCTACTTTTATTATTTATTTTATTTAAATTGTATTTTACTCCACCTTTCTCCTTAAAAGGACCCAAGTTGGTTTCAAAGTTGGTTTTCCAAGCCGCCTAGAGTAGTCCACCGTGACTAGATAGGCGGGATATAAATTAAATAAAATAAATAAAAAAATAAATAAATAAGTTAAAAATACTGGTTAACCCTTACAGCAGGGGTCAGTGACCTCCAGAGGTTTATGGGCCACATATACCTTATCCTGAAGCTTGAAGGGTTGGACCTACCCCTACTAATTTTTCAAAATTATGTTTGGTGGGTTTTGTTTCATTTTGGGTTTTTTAACTGAAATGCCCACTTGCCACCTTTAGTGGCCAAAAATTATTTTTAATTTATTTATTTATTTTATTTATATCCCGCCTACCAATTAAACAAATTGGAGGTTTACACTGTCGAGTACTGTGGGGGGCTTCAAAATATTAAAAAGTCATCCCACGAGGCACGAGGGGACTTAGGGTATTTCTCTTGAACTGTACGTCAATGGAATCAACAACCTCGGGAGGTAGTGGGCGCTCCAACACTGGAGGCATTTGAGATAAATTTAGACAACCACCTGGCAGATATCCTTTGATTGGTATTCCTGCGTTGAGTAGGGGGTTGAACTCAATGGCTCTTCCCACTTCATGGTGCTATGATTCTATGATAGTTAACTGTGTTCTAATTCTAAAGCCAAAACTCTCATGAAAAACAAAAATAAAAGGAGACTATCGTACTTTGGGCACATCCTGAGAAGGCAAGATTCACTGGAAAAGAATATTGCTGGGAAACATT